TGGGTTAGCGCCCCTTCCTGAGCAGGAACTACCGCCTGACGACTGATGGAGCAGCTATGCGTCGTATCATACTTCGTCTCCTACCCCAAAATACGCCAATCCGGCTCTCCGGAGCAAGTCCTCACCCCTCCCGCGCCGCTGCCTGCTGCTCTCTTCCCTCCTAACGCGATCCTGCACACCGTGTGCATCTCCCGCATGTGCTTCAAACAACGCCGCCTGACTGTTCCGCCGGCAATAGCGATGTCCCTTTCGGGGATGGGCGGTTCGGAGTCCCTAGGTCGGGTGAGGTGGGAGCGTGTGCAGCTGCTGAATGCTGAGGGGAGAATGAAGAAGATGCTTCGGACTGGGGAATGGAAGGACGAGCTTTGTCGGCCGGGGAAGGAGGGTGGCTGGGGGATGGATGAAATGGAAGAGGAGAGGAAGATGGGGATGGAGGCTTGTGGAAAGACTTATGCGGGGATGGAGTTGCTTAGGCCTGTAGTGGAGGTGTAGGGGGGCAGGTAATGGTCGGACGGGAGGGCTTAGATGTACTTTTGTTGCGGTGCTGTTTGTGTAAGAGATTGTGTAGACCCCGGCATGTCAGAGTATTGGTTGGTTTGGATTGGTTTGAGAACCTTGAGCAACTGCAGATAGATAATTTGCGCAAGAAAAACTCTACAAAATCAACATTTCCCCTTGGCTGCAGAAGGTTGGTATACTTGAGACCATGCAGGGCTCTCAGGTGTCAGGGGACATCTGTAAAAATGTTGAACAATGATCATGAGCTGCAACCATTGAACACCTCAATACTGTATGTGTTGTATCATGGATAGTAATAGACACTCATGCAAACACCCCAGAAGTGAGCAGCTGACCAGAGGGAATATCAGAACAGTACACTGCTGAACTTAATTAACATCAATTATCAGTTTGTGGGTCAAATCAGTTCACAGGTCACTTTTTGAGACCCATAGACATGCTAGATCCTGTCAATCAGAGCTATTATTCAATGGGATATCAGTAAAGACATCCTCTGAGCAGGTGTGAGGGCAACATGATCCAGCAAGGCTGACAATCAAGAACTCTGAACAGAGAATAGAAGAGATCAAAAGGAGATCTGGGAGAATTGACAGATCATCCAGAAAGTTGGGGGGGTTTCAGGGTTTAGTGAGGATCAAAGCAGAGGTTTTGAAGTCAGATAAATTCCAGACAGTTAAGCAGAGGCCAAAGAGTCAAGAAGTATCCGAGAGCAACAGAAAGCTATTGAATCTATATGAATTGTGAGGGCACACAGTCAAGCAAGGCTGCCAACTATAACCTGACAAGATGATGAGATTGACAGTAAGACTGAACACCCTATATCAACAGGGGTATCAGTGGATATCAGAGTAGACTTGAGAGGATTTGGACAGGAAAGCAGAAATCAGTAGAGTTCAGGAAGAGCTTCGATGAGGTGAGATGACTAGGCCTATCTCTACAAGACTGTGGAGATTCCTCAGAGATTGGATCTAAGGAGAGTAGTACTACCCTGCTACTGCTTATATACTCATAGGGCATGGTCTGTGCACATGGAAGTATAATCAAAAATTTACCTCAATTAGGGCCAGCTTCACTGATTCATGCAAGTTGGCATCCATCGGTCCTTGTGTCAGGTATTCAGAGCTGGCTCAGTGTGGAGACCCTAGCCTGTGTTGTCAAAGTCTGATAGTCACCAAGTGGATCAAATTGAGCTCAAATGTTCTGAATGTGCAGTCAAAACTTGGAGTCCCCTGACATGAATGGATGACTAGAAATGCTTGATCATGGCAATTTCTCAAAGAGATCACATCTAAAGGGAAGTGGCAATGGGCAGAGGCAGGATTATATACTAGAGGGGTGGAAGTAATGTGGAAGCAAAGAAAGTGGCTTGGGAACTGTACAGCTACCAATCATTCTTTCAGGAGTCTTCAGCATGCAGATCAAGGGTGGTTGGGTGTTTCAAGTAGGGATTAGTGAGTCAGAAGGTTTCGGAGGATTCAGGGGTTTGAGATGTGTGCCTTGGTTGAAATGGGATTGAATGTGAGTCAATAGTGGGTCAAAATTAGGTGTCCCCTGACACTGTATATTCAATGCAAAATCCTGTACACCTTGAACATTAGACTCAAAGTGGGGTTCAACTCTGTGAGGGCAACATGATCCAACAATCATTGATGATCAAATAACCAAACAGGCAACAAGCAAATCGGAGAGTAGTGAGTTGTACATCAATCAATACCTCAACATTTGTTCACAAATGGAGTGATCAACAGGGGTTTTACAGAGTAAGTGGTGATCAGCAGCTGACAGGCATAATTGTGTGTGTGTCATGTGCATGTTTGGAATGATTAAAGCTTCGGATTTAGAGCCTAATGACCTTGGACCATAGGGTTCCTAAGAGATCAGCTCTAAGGAGCTACAGTGGTTGTACTAAATACTACTAGGCATGGAAGCAAAAATGGAAGCAAAGCCATATGGCTGACTGTATAGTGATTTAGGGCAGGCTTTGTATGGTGTCATGTCTAACACAGGGTACAATCAACAATCAGGAGTTACCTGGTTTCATGGTTTGGGTGTTCAGTTGTTGTTCAGGACATTTTGGCAGTTATTGCTTAGATTGATGTTGATTGCTGTCATGTCTGGCCAAATTTGGGAACATCCCCTGACATCACCCCCCTCTTAAGAGTTGTTGTCCTCAATGACATATCATCTTGTTGTCCTGTGTATCATCCCTGTGTCCAGTCGAAGAGCACACAATTTGTCTCAGTGTAATTCTGTCAGGGCACACAATACCAGACATGAGGCTGCCATCAATACAACTGGAAAGGGTCAATAGAGGATGTGTAAAGGGTTGAGAGAGTGAGACCACCAGGCCAAGATATTGCAAGACCAGGCTGGCAGATATTGTCAAGTAACAGTGGTGTCAACAGAGGTCGAGAGAAGTATCAAGAGGAGCACTAGGATATCAAGAGCACAAGCTGACAGTATTGCCCAGTTTGCTCAAGTAGATAAGTTCAATGAGATACCAATACCTAGTTCAACTACACAAGTATTGTGGAAGATCCTAAGAGATCAGATCTCATGACAACATGATGAAAGGGGACAAGACTATCTATGATAGCCACAGAAGTAAACTAAAGAAGGTGGCTGAGAACTGTACAGCAGGGATTACCTTAGGGCAGGGTCCTAGGGACTTAGAGGATTTTGACTCAGCCATTGATATCACATGAGATGGTTGAGATGTTTCTCTTGGTCCTTTGATCTGTATCATGGGTTCGAGATGATCATGATATTTAGGTGATCCCTGACAAATTCTCTCGTGATTGGAATCAGAGTTGGTCAAAATAATCCATATGTGCAATATGTCTAGGTGCTTCTGAGTGTTGTCAATGGAATTTGCAGACAGCTTGTCATGCACCTTCAAGGTTTCTGGGTGGTTCCCATGTGTTTTCTGTGTTTGAGTAGCCTTTCCATTTGACAAGGTATTCAAATTGGCCATTCTTTCATAGATGACTGTTCTCAATCCATTCAACTTCCCAAACATTTTCACCATCTACATCCAGTTCAGGTGGCAGAGGTGATATTTCTTCACATCCAGGTATGTCACTGTCATGATAGGGTCATAATTTGGAAACATTGAATACTGGGTGTAGTCACCACAAATCAGGAAGTTCAATCTCATACACATTGTTGTTGATCTTATGTGTGATCACAAATGGTCCAAACCATTTGTCATCCAATTTCTTTGCTGGTCGTTTCATTTTGATGTCTTTGGCATTGAGCCATACCTTGTCTCCTATGTTGTATATTATTGTGGTTTGTCAGTGTCAATCATAGAATTGGGCCATGTCGTCTGCTGCTTTTGTCAATGCAGCCTTGCATTCATTTTTGATTTGCTGCATTGTTCCTGTGAATTCTTTGACTCCTGCAATTGTGACCTCCCATATTGGTTCAATGCCCATTTGTGGGTTACATCCTGTGTTGGCCATGAATGGTGAGTGTTGCATTCCAGCATGTATACAATTGTTGTATGCAAATTCAGTGCATGCAAGCCAATTGGCCCAATCATCTTGTCAATGATTTACAAAGAGTCAGAGATACTGTTCCAGTTCCTGGTTGACATGTTTGGTCTGTCCATCACTCTGTGGATGGTATGCTGTTGATGCCAATATTTTGATGCCTAAGAGAACGTTGAGTTCATGCATGTATTTCAATATGAATTGTGTTCCACAATTGCTGATGATCTTGTGAGGCAGTCCATGATTTTGCCATACATTGTCACAAAAGAGATGTGTGATTCCTGCCAATGTTACTTCACTTTGTGTTGCTGCAAAGTGAGTATGTTTGGTGAGTCAATTGATGGCAACAAATATTGCATCATATCCTTCACTTGCCAGGAGTTGCATTATGAGGTCAACTGTAATGATTTCCAATTGTGCATTTGGGATCTGTTAGGGCAACACAGGCTGACTAAGTCT